AAAGCAGCACACTTCTCACAGCAGAGACAGGTCTTCTCCAGAAGAGCGAAGCAAATTTGTTAGACTTTTCAATGACATAATGCTATGCATATTAACTTTTTTTTTGAGAAACCAAATATTTCTATTTTAACTGCTATAAACAACTGATGACCATGCACAGAGCTATTTCAGTAACAAGATCAGTAAGGGAGACTGCAAAAAGTAATCTGCCTACAGGTCTTATAATTCATATACAAAAGTAACATTCATAAGTGTTCTAGGTAGCGTGCCTCAGAGATGTTATAAACACAAACATCTATTGAGTTAGACCTAATAAAAAATTTAGATTTTCATTATGAAGCCCATGTATGACAGACAGCAATATACTGATGCTGGCAATGAAAAGGCAGATATTAAAACCTGTGTAATGTAATCTTCCCTCCAAAACAGACATAAAAACCTGAGCAACAAAAAAGCAAGAGGTTCTGGCATTGTGTATACAGCAACATTTCCGTGCTTTCCCCACCTTTTCCTCCCAAACTCCCTCAGCCAGATTACCCTGCAGCCCTAGCAACCCGTGTATACTCAGCTGGCTGTCCACCGCCATTATCTGTACTACATTCTGCCCTCATGGATGACCTTAAACTGCAATCCCAGAAAATACCTTGCTCACCAACCCAAAGTGTCACTTGCTATAATTAGCATTCTGGGAGCTAACAGTACAGCCATTAAGGCACTGAGAAAGACACATGTCCTGCCCTAGTTCCGTGTATATCAAGTGATCAGTCAGATGACCATTAAAGTAGTGAAGTCTTTATTCAGATGGTCAACTCGCCTGCCTCAACCCATAACCTGTCTCTACAAGGTTTTCCTTAGAGAGATGGATAATGATGCTCTTTCATGTTACATTCCTTGGTATGAAATGTGGTGCTTCCAAATCTCTGTTCCTATTCCCAGGACAGCCTGTAATGAGAAAAATCTGACTTTGAATAGAACAACAGTCTCAAAATCAGGCTGTCATTCAGCAGGAACAGCTTTTGCTGAGCACACACAACTTCATGGTAAGGACACTGCCTACTGCTACTTCCCCCCTCACCGAGGACGTGGAATAACATGAGAATGTTTCATATCCATTCCAAAATTTTAATATTTTAATCTATTAAATCTTACCACCATCATCTTGTTCCAATTTGGATGGCCAGCTAACTGATGCAATACACTGAAGAAATA